CATATACACTGTAAGAAAATAGAATTCATTCCATTGAAATTTTTTTCGAAATATTTAAACGAAATTTTTTCAGCAGAAGCATTTGGATGAGGATCAGGTGAATGATGAAAATAAACGTCTTTCGGAAGAAGCTAGAGCAAAACAGAAGCGTGAAAGAAGTAAGAAATTGGATGACTTGGTTCTGCGGTCAGTTCTTGGGACAAGAATGCAGGTATTTGTAGATCATTTTATCTAATTTATTTTATCCAAACCATTATTATATTTTTCGAAACCTTACGATATGAATATTTCATATACCTACATTGTTTGAAAACCTTTCGAATTCTAGGAACTGTCGGGTCAGTATGTTCTTATGGAACAATTTTATATGACGGAATCGGTTGCGAAGGCAATGACTATGGATTTAAAAGAGGTCGGCAGCTTAACAAGGTATTACATTAATCAAAATTTTTGTCAACTTTTTTTTAACTCAGCGCTGCAAAAGCAATGCATCAATCGATGATTTGGCATTACATTTTACTTTAGAATGTTTAAATGAACGATAACGACAAATCTCTTCATATTTCCAACCCTTGTACTAGTTGGCTATTAGGGAGGTTATGCAATCAATGATTTCTGGGAAGATTTTGATTATTCATGCAGGATCTGTTTCTAGCGACTTCGAATATTAAAATGAAATTTTCAAGAAAGAAGTTTAATTGAGAAACAATTTCAGCTCTATGCTTGATGATGTGTTTTTTATTATTCGTAAATGTGTAAGACGTTCTCTTAGTTCATCATCAGTGGATTGCACATGTGCTGTGTTAAATAATGGTGTGACTGCTTTGGAAGCAGATTTTCTGAAATATATATTTCAGGGAATTAAAGTGAGTGTCTTGAAAGTCAGTATATTTTTCTTTGTTGTATTTTGTTTCTTAATTTTTAAAACCATCCGGTGACTTTCAAAAAAGGATCTTAATTAGATATGATGTTTAGAATGGTTATCCTGGCGCAGGTTGGACCGCCGAAGCATATCAAACGGCACAAACAGCATACAATGTTATACAACATGGAAAAATGGTTGCAGATTCGGGACCCGAGAAACTGAAAGAAGTAAGCTTTCATAAAGTTTTGACAACTACCGACACATTTTGGCATTGTAATGAACTTCTTAAATGAAATGTATTTCTCAAAAGCTACCTTACACTGTGTATACTTCAATTCATATTTGAAAGTAATTACTACGTATGTTGCTAAGCGCTAGCCAAATTGGAGTTTACATGGTACTTTACTGTTGATTATTCCATATGTTTGAACATAAAAAAAATTTTTTTGTCGTGATGAACTCTGAACATGCGAAAGTAGTTCAAAAAAGTGCAACTTGTTAATAATAAGTTGTCGTTTTAATGCATTTTGTTCTTTTAGATTTTTCTGACTGCATTAAACAACGTTCGTGCATCTGCTGAATGTACGAAAACATTGAAAAAAGGATTATTGGAAGATTTTGAAAAACACCTAACCGAGGTACGGAATTTTTTTTTTGTAATGTAGACTCTTACATAGAGATTTAAATTTTATAGGTTTTTTTTGTAATGTAAACTCTTATTAAATTTTATGGGTAAATAAATACTTTTAGCAGTTCCTGCAAGGATAGTTGAGTAGTCAGAAAAAAATTTAGCATGTACTGGGTGATAGGTGAAGTCGAGTTTTTTTTGATCATTTTTTCAGGTGAATGAACTTGAGAAAGGCAAATTGGAAAACGCGATAAGCCAACTAGACGATTTAGTGCGGAAATTCGACAGTTCTGCAAATATTGGTGTTGATAAACTGTGCGTAGCTGCCTTCCGGCCTAAATTGAAACCCATGTACTCTTTTCTTCATTTTGTGCTTTTGCATTGGACAAATAGATATTACTGCTTTTCGAGTTAAGTGGCTTAGATTTTAACCCCTTAATGGGAATTACAAATTGAGGTTCTTTGTCGTGCGTTTTGAAAATCATTTAAGAAGACCGACAAAAAACCAAGTTAAATTTGTTTAAGTTTGTTTAGCATGGATCTCTATCTGAATGTTACTCACACGCCTTCTGAGAGTGAATTCGCTGATTTTGAAGCAGAGGATCCATTCATGGATAATTTCATCGCAACACTTGATCGCCAATTAGCAGTTTTTGAGCCGTTACTTGTTTCCATCAATTACCAGGTAGTATTTTAATAACTGTTGCACAATGGAGTTAAACTTTCCTAGATATAGTGAGATTTATTAAAATTTTCAATCATGGAAAAGTAATTGAAGGAATTGCTGGTAGCAGTTTGTACTGAAGTTTCTATGCAGTTTGAGCGTGTGATAATGAAAAGTGTTTATAATCGACTTGGTGGCTTACAACTTGACAAAGATTTTCGTTCTTTGAGCTCATATTTGACTAACGTTTCTGGTTGGATCGTACGTGAGAAATGTGCAAGATTATCTCAGGTATCTAAATCTTTATGTTTTTTAGAATTCTTATTAATCCAAAAAATATTTCATATCGGAGTCAAAAAAAATATTTCAGTCAATATCAGAATCGGACACTGAAGAATTAAATTTAGATGCCGTTTCTTCCGTTGGATTTAGGTTTACAAATGTTTAGGTTTAAAAGCTGCTTTCTTAGATGAAAAAATCTAAAACCAATCTGTTTTGTGGGTTAGTTGGACTGACTAAAATAGTTTTGACAGACCGTTAACCGTTCACGCATTTTAGATAGTGTCCATAATAAATGTCGATAGTGTTGCGGAGGCAGAAGAGTGCTTTCATCAGTTACAGCATCATAATCTTATGCTAACAAGTGATGAAGCGATGAAAGTGCTCGTGCTGCGAATCGATTTGCCGTCCGATGCCATTAAAAATGCTTCATTTTGATATTCCATCGAGATTTAGATAGTCTCGATTTTAGGTTTATTTAATCAGCAATACATGTCCATATTTTTTTAAATTTTGGTTTTGTCTTTTTTTTAATAGTTAAAATTTATCACATTTCATCATTATACTTTTTTTGTTTAGTTATTTGTTTTTTTTGGTATGCTGAGTAACTTAATTATGAATGAAAAACTAACCGAAATTTGTTGTTCTCACGTGTTACCAGTTTATTTTCTATCTGCATGAGCATTACATGGTGCTGTAGGCTCCAAATTGAAATCAAATTCTATAAATGAACATTCGCAAATGGTCTCGCAAATAATCAAAGATCCTAGTGAATGTAAAAAATTCGTAGATTTTAGGATTAAATAGCGTCAGAAAGTAAATTTTAGGAACTGAAATCGATTATTCGCAAATTTAATCATTTACAAAATAACCTCGATCAAACTCAAAAATACGCAATAATTAAGAATAGTTTTGCTCCACCAGGAGGAAAGAAGGAATTGGATAAAACTATTGATGAAAGGTTTAATTAACGAAAACAGAGCAATGATAGGGATCAGTGAGAAATTGAATATTGAGATGGTAGCAATCACTATATTTGTTTCAACAAATGTGAGTAATAGTGGCATGAAGTCATTTCTGTTGCCGGAATGCGAAAGTAAATCTTTGAAGCAAATGTGTTTTCGCATAAACGAATGACGAATGTGACAGTTATTCAAGTGAAACTAGAAATGATTATGGATTACAAGCAGAGATGAAAAGAAAGTTATTGAGAGTGGGAGAGGGAAGGGGTTAATGAACTGTAGTGATTTCCTAAGTTGATTTATAAAAGTGATGTGATAGTGAGTCAGGTCTATGAATTCGTTAATAGTAATGATAATGAATGGAATAATATGATGATTATAAGTTCTTGAAGGAACACCTAAGCTATAAGTAGCAAAGTAAGTGAAAAAGGACAAAAACAATTGCAGAGTAACTTCATCCAAAGTTCTGGAATGCTGGATAGAAATCCAGGAAGTGAGAGGGAATGATTACTGATAATCTAAGAGAATGAGTTATCAGTTCCTCTAACAATGACTATAAAAACCAATCAGTGGTAGTTCAAGCAATACGAACGTAATCCGGAGAGCAAATTGGATGGATAAATGTCAAAAAATCACTTGAAATTTTGAGAGCACAAATAGATAATTTGAATCCACGACGACTGTATTAATTAACCAATTTTCAATTAACTGAGTTGTATTGATTAAAGAATGTTCACAATTGTGTTTTTCAGTGGAACTATCAATCTAACACAATTCAATAAATAGTGGCATAAAATTATTAGTATTACAAATAATTCAACAATAAGAAATAAAAGTGGAAAAAGGTCATATATATTGTGAGTATAAGTGTTTGTTACCAGTTTCTGATACTATTCATCGGCTCTTCAAAAAAACTACTTTAAATTGAAGTGATGTCAGAAGCAAGTATTTCTGTCATTAATAAAATTAAATTTGTTGTGGTAGACAAATCTTGCAAAAAAAATATTTAAGTGTGCACTTTTGGATCAATTTTTCCAAGTCAGTCAATGTTAGTTAATCCATTCATTTCTTTAATATTCTAATGATCAGTTGATAAGATTCGCAGTATCACAGTCTGAATCAAATGACGAAGTTACAAAAGATGTCAAGAATTAACTTTTCATTTCCATTTATCCCTAAAGTGTTTCCGATGAAAATACTACACGGTCCGTTTTAATGCTGAGCGATCTATTTTGTTATGAAAAAAATGAAGAAAAAACTTCAAGAAACTGAAATTTTCTCTATTCTATACAACTCATTTTTAGTTTCTGTTGCAAACGACACAAACAAAAGATTTAAATTATACTCAATATTTTACAAATTCTTTCTTTTACATTTTTTTTTTAATTTTCAAAATTTCTTTTGATAAATGTTCTTCAGCGGATTGATATAAATGAAAAAAGTTTATGCAAGAATTTGTTGAATAAATGATTCGTTATTTAAATTTTGTTCAACTGTAGTATTATTTATTTTTTACAAATAATCACTGTGAAAAAATTTATTATCGAAATCATTACTGCGAGATTTCATATGACAAATGCCAATCATATCGACAATAATCTTTCAAGAATAAAATAAATTGTATTTGGATTTGCCGCATCCTTTATGATTACAACGTACGACAAATAAAAGTGTTGTGAAGACAGCGAGAAACCAAATTATATAAACATGAAGAGCCTCTCGGAGTTGTTCATCGGATGATGCAAAGGTAGCTGATGATAAACCCGAGAAGTACAGAGCTTGCGATCCACGAATTTTGGGACAGTGTGAAGCAGTGTAGATGGACATCTGTAAATACAATGCATATTCCGCATGTCAATAGATCAAGAGGGTCTAATTAATATGAACAGAATAATCTCCAATAATTTCAGGAGTAAAATAAATTATAATAGTGGGAAAGAAACAAATTTTGAGATCGAATATCCAAGAGAAAAAAAAACTTTAAATTTTATTGATGAAGTGATTAAGCAGACAGGTTCCGAATGCAGTCCGGACGTGTCTCAACTTCTGTCTTATTGAATAAGATTAGCTTTACGTCGTTAATTTTTTTTGCTAAAACTTGTCTCCTCTCGCAACCAATTAACAATTCCGTAATATTGCTACTATCGGTTGAATTGCCAATTAACATTCCAAAAAACTGAAATTGATTAACACTTTTCATACTTAGTATTTTTTGTTTAACTTTTAAAGATAAAACTTAATGAATTTTTTAGTGGATATTTATACATTACAATATGATTTCGAATCTTTGCTGGGAATATAGGTTGCATAATTATATATAAACGCTGTTAAAAATTACTAAATGAATTTGAAAATATCAACCATCTATTATTACTATTAATTAATTTATTAATTATTATCGTTATCACTAATATAATTATTGCAATAAAAACTCATAAATTCATTACTTTAAAATAATCAAAATCCTTACCCAAGTAGTAAATGCGGTTCGACGAAGAAATTCGTTCTCAGCCAACAATCCACCAGCCAATTTTGTCGGGTTATAATGATATAGCAATTTGATCGCTGCGGGAAAATTATCTGGATGAATCAGAAAACCGGAAAGCACTACCGCATTACTTAATAGAGCTACTGAAATTGATAACAAAATGGAAATGAAATGAATTTTTATTAGAAAAAAAAGAAAAATAGAAAAAATTAAAAAATAAAATTATTAGATTAATTTCGATTATTTCCGCAAACTCCACGCTCTGATTTTGCTTATTTGTTTCATTATAATTTATTTAAATAGTTTCAAATTTACTTAAATAGCACAAGTTAATTTCACTATAAAAAGTAGTACCAATTATAACGATTGCAGAGATCCGCGTGCAACAACAATATGCCACGATCCACGTGAGGTATCTCCAAAGAATCATATGAGCGCAAAGAATCACAGTGAATAGAAGTAAAGATGGCCAATAGAAAGTACCATCAGGTGGAAGTCCACTTAGTATATAGGCAGGTAAGGTATATAACGTGTTGCACATCACTCCCATAGGTAAATCATATATAATCTTCAATTAATTAAGTTTACTTTGAGAAATTTGAAAATTTGTACAAAAAAGCGCCACACAATTTAGTGCTATATTATCAGGCGGTATTGATACAAAAAGTGTTCATGTCTGATTTGAGAAAAAAATTAAAATATAATGCGAAAAGAATTTGCACCTTAACGATAATGTAAAAAGTTGGATCGTATAATCGATTGCGAATATCATCAAGCAAATATGAACGCTCGTCAAATACTGCAAATATTTTTTCATCCTTCGTTAACAAAATTGAAAAGTAAATTTAATTTATGAAATATTAAAATTTAATAGTTCATTGATTTAAAAGAATAAATGCCAGAAAATTATTAACGGTAGTTTCCTTACCAA